CAGCCTTGTACTCCACCACAGGTCAGCACCACCTGCAGCAGCCTTGTACTCCACCACAGGTCAGCACCACCTGCAGCAGCCTTGTACTCCACCACAGGTCAGCACCACCTGCAGCAGCCTTGTACTCCACCACAGGTCAGCACCAGCTGCTGCTGCCTTGTACTCCACCACAGGTCAGCACCACCTGCAGCAGCCTTGTACTCCACCACAGGTCAGCACCACCTGCAGCAGCCTTGTACTCCACCACAGGTCAGCACCAGCTGCTGCTGCCTTGTACTCCACCACAGGTCAGCACCACCTGCTGCTGCCTTGTCCTCCACCACAGGTCAGCACCACCTGCAACTGCCTTGTACTCCACCACAGGTCAGCACCACCTGCTGCCTTGTACTCCACCACAGGTCAGCACCACCTGCAGCAGCCTTGTACTCCACCACAGGTATAGAGACTGTTGTGGGCCACTACTTGAATCACATGTGATATAAAAAGACCATTGATATATGCACATGTATTTGTGTAAACGAAAAATAAATTGTGTAACTAGCTTCACAAAATTTATACTTGCTTAGCTAAATGGGGTATGGGGTGCATAATAAATGACTACACTAACTGTTAGCTGCTTGCACGATAGACACTGATTGCACGATAGGCACTGATTGCACGATAGACACTGATTGCACGATAGACACTGATTGCACGATAGACACTGATTGCACGATAGACACTGATTGCACGATAGGCACTGATTGCACGATAGGCACTAATTGCACGATAGACACTGATTGCACGATAGACACTGATTGCACGATAGACACTGATTGCACGATAGACACTGATTGCACGATAGGCACTGATTGCACGATAGGCACTAATTGCACGATAGACACTGATTGCACGATAGACACTGATTGCACGATAGACACTGATTGCACGATAGACACTGATTGCACGATAGACACTGCAGTCTACGACTAGTTGATGCACTGAACGTGTTCAACATCCTGAAACACACTCTGCCTTTGAAACACAGACTGTTCTACAAGGTGAAACACAGACTGTTCTACAGGGTGAAACACAGACTGTTCTATAGGGTGAAACACAGACTGTTCTACAGGGTGAAACGCAGACTGTTCTACAGGGTGAAACACAGACTGTTCTACAAGATGAAAAACAGACAGTTCTACAGGGTGAAACACAGACTGTTCTATAGGGTGAAACACAGACTGTTCTACAGGGTGAAACGCAGACTGTTCTACAGGGTGAAACACAGACTGTTCTACAAGGTGAAACACAGACAGTTCTACAGGGTGAAACACAGACTGTTCTATAGGGTGAAACACAGACTGTTCTACAGGGTGAAACACAGACTGTTCTACAGGGTGAAACACAGACTGTTCTACAGGGTGAAACACAGACTGTTCTACAAGGTGAAACACAGACAGTTCTACAGGGTGAAACACAGACTGTTCTATAGGGTAAAACACAGACTGTTCCACAAGGTGAAACACAGACTGTTCTACAGGGTGAAACGCAGACTGTTCTTCAGGGTGAAACACAGACTGTTCTACAGGGTGAAACACAGACTGTTCTACAAGGTGAAACACAGACAGTTCTACAGGGTGAAACACAGACTGTTCTACAGGGTGAAACACAGACTGTTCTACAAGGTGAAACACAGTTCTGCAGGGTGAAACACAGACAGTTCTACAAGGTGAAACATAAACTGTTGTACAAGGTGAAACACAGACTGTTCTACAGGGTGAAACACAGACTGTTCTTCAAGGTGAAACATAAACTGTTCTACAAGGTGAAACACAGACTGTTCTACAAGGTAAAACACAGACTGTTCTACAGGATGAAACACAGACTGTTCTACAGGGTGAAACACAGACTGTTCTACAGGGTGAAACACAGACTGTTCTACAGAGTGAAACACAGACTGTTCTACAAGATGAAACATAAACTGTTCTACAGGATGAAACACAGACTGTTCTACAAGGTGAAACACAGACTGTTCTACAGGGTGAAACACAGACTGTTCTACAGGATGAAACACAGACTGTTCTACAAGGTGAAACACAGACTGTTCTACAAGGTGAAACACAGACTGTTCTACAAGGTGAAACACAGACTGTTCTACAAGGTGAAACACAGACTGTTCTACAGGGTGAAACAGGTTGTTCTACAGGGTGAAACAGGTTGTTCTACTAGGTGAAACACAGACTGTTCTACAAGGTGAAACACAGACTGTTCTACAAGGTGAAACACAGACTGTTCTACAAGGTGAAACACAGACTGTTCTACAAGGTGAAACACAGACTGTTCTACAGGGTGAAACAGGTTGTTCTACAAGGTGAAACATGCTGTTCTAGGTGAAGCAACGTCTCCCAAATTAGCCAAAAAATACATATATTAATATGAGTGCAAGGAGAGTGTCTTCACATATTGCTGCAGATATAAACACTTCAGAATTACACACACTTTTGCAAGTATTTGTTTCGGAAAATAGTCAACACAGCAAGAATTTTGAGACACATATTAAGAGCAAATTTTCCAAGATAAAGAAGTTTGGCAAAATTGTAAAATAATGGAGTCTCTCCCCCCAAAAAACCCACTTATGCCGCAAGATAATGGAGTCAGGATTACGCTTTACTTTTAGTGGATTTTGAGTAACAATAGAGAAAGTGTATGGTTTATATTACAGTTTTTATTATTATTATTTTCTACCACAGACGTGGCCACACATTTACAATGCTAACCAGCATATATATATATTCTTCTGTCCTCCATGGACAGGGTTAGAGATGTGTTAAACATATAGTTCAAGGGTTTATTGAACAATCAACCACAGAAGGTGATTCGGTGCTTTTAAAATGCTAAGCTAACCTACATACGTAAATACATAGATACACAGATTTACGTATGCCCTATATAAAGTGTTCGATGCTTTATATTACAGTATCAGGGCAGTGTATATACATTTACATCAGTTTATCCTACTTCCAAGTCTCGTTTTCTGTTATATAATGTTGCCATTTCTGTTATTACATGAATTTACCTGAGGCCACTAACACTCTCGTGATGAGAACAGGAAGCCGGTGGCTTGTCAAAGGTCCCCTTTCCTATTGGTCCAGATGGATTTTTCAAGCTGGATTTTAAAGCTCAGCAGAGTTTTGGCGTTTATGACTTCTTATGAAACGTAGGTTTTGAGTGTTGCCTTCGACGGTGTTTTGTTTATTGTGCACATCATATACTCATCCTGCAGCCAGTCCTATCAAATAATACGGCAAAATTCCCAATGGACAAAATATGATGTACTATAAATCATAGCAACTCGCAAACAATCACGTTTTCTATGCGTGGGTTCATCAGTTAGGTTAGGTTCGAGCACGTTAAAGTACATCATTTTCGTGATATTATGACTACTCGAGATGTCCTGTGTAAGAAAGGATTACAGAAAAAAGTGGCTGTTGCTGTTACAGTTGTACTCTCACTTGCCCTGGACGGTAGAGCGACGGTCTTGCGTCATTCAGGTCGGCGTTCAATCCCTGACCGTCCATAAGTGATTGGGCACCATTCCTTCCCCCCCCCGTCCCATCCCAAATCCTTATCCTGACCCCTTGTCAGTGCTATATAGTCGTAATGGCTTGACGCTTTCCCTTGATAGTTCAATTAAAAAAAATCTGTATTTGATACTAAATATATTGATGGTACCTGAACCACTGCTTGTACTGCAGCTTAGTCGTTCAGGTATAATTGTTTACGTCATGTTCAACATTCTCATATTACGGGGTAACATAAATATTGATGCTTATGTTTGTAGTGATAAACATATATATATATTATTTTATAGAATGTAAGGTCTTATAAGTTCCTTATATATTTTCCCCTATATGCAAGAAACGAAATACAAATACACTGAATGAATTTCGCAGATTTTATCATTAAATACAAAATGTTGTTCCATTTCATGCATGGTTAGAATATTTCTATGTCTAAATGGCCTACGTTTGACATTGTCTACTTTGTATTTTGTCAAGTATTTGACTTTATTCTTAGTACAAACACTTGTCACCCAAGTTAGATTTAATACAATCTTAAACATTAGAGATACTTGTAGCCTAGTCATTTTAGTCTACTGATTTCCCTATTACGTTCCCTCATAGAAATTTGACATATTTAATTTTGGCACACAATGGATGGGTTAGTTCCTGCTCACACTCTCCAGTGTGTTCTTTTCCTCCAAATTCGTCTGAAAATTATCTTCTGATGACACTTTTAAAACTTTTGATTGATAGCTCTATTTTATATTCCACAATCTCTTTATATATATATTGCAAGGTTGGCAAGGGGCATCATCAACTTTTATTAAGTTCTGCGTCTTTAGGGATCCACAATAATTTTACTCTGGCGCTTTTATTAACTATAAATATATATTATCAATGGCTGTATAAATAAGCACTTTACAGTTTGGGTGTCAACTGTTCAGAGTTTGTAATGAGAATAAGTTGGAGATAATCAGGGGCCAGATTCACGAATCAGTTACACAAGTACTTACGAACGTGTACATCTTTTCTCAATCTTTAACAGCTTTGGTTACATTTATTAAACAGTTTACAAGCATGAAAACTTCCCAATCAACTGTTGTTATTGTTATAAACAGCCTCCTGGTGATTCGGAGCTCATTAACGGTTTAATAATTGCAAACAAAGCCGCCAAAGATTGAGAAAAGATGGACAGGATCGTAAGTGCTTGTGTAACTGCTTCGTGGATCTGGCCCCTGGCTGTCTACTGCAGTGTCTTCAACAATCTTGAGCGGCCTAAGAACAGCCAACAGTTTGTTTTTACACCTGTAAGATGGCTGTTCATTTATTTACAGACTCACTGTGCACTCATTGGTCTGTCGTACAATGAAACCTGTTAATCAATGGGCTTCGAGGTTCCTAGTTAACAGAAGCAACCCTTCCTGTTACCCCATTGGTCAATGTGGCAGATCTACTTACCGTTAATACAGGAGTTGACAGAGGTCCAGATGAGTAGAGACAGCAGGTTGACGGACAGCTCTTTGCAGATCATCATCTCGTCTCTCAGGCCTGGAGGCTGTGCGCTATGATGCTTGCTCTCCTGTTTCTCTCTCTCTCTCTCTCTGTCTCTCTCTCCTTCACTATCTTTCCTGCTTCCGTAGGCGAAGATAGGAAGGAAGAGTATTCAGATGCAAACTAGTGAGAAGAGGCTCGAGAAGGGAGAAGCTCTAGTCTTAAGAAGGAGGGAATGGGGCTTTAAAGAAAGGAAAGAACTGAGTGTAGAGGAATCATGGAAGAAAAGGGGGATATAGAGGATGTCAATGAAAATTAGTGAATGAACGAAAGCGGATAAGGACTGAAACGATACGATTAGATTAACAGGAAGGAAAGAAGCTATGAGGGTGTCGAAACTTGCGCTAATGTGCTGAACTAGAAACGTAAAGAGAAAGGGATAGAGAAGTCCAAGAAAGGAGAGAGAGAGAGACAGAGAGACAGAGAGAGAGAGTTACAAGCTGGAACAACCTCTCTCTAGTATCAACACAAGTTCCTCCTCTGTCAATAGAGATTTACTTCTTTCCCTCCTCATCAGTTCTGTGTATCATCATCATCATCTCACTGGTCGTCATGTCCTCACCGATGGACCGCGGGAAGATTGATGATGATATTGGTGTCAACTTTTCGGTGCAAACTCCCGCTGTCTGCCTGTCCCTGGTGGCTGCAGCTTCTTCGTGCTGATTCTCACTGTTTGGCACTGTGAGAGGTGGGAGTGTAAATCATTTGGCACTGTGAGAGGTGGGAGTGGAAACGGTTTGGCACTGTAAGAGGTGGGAGTGCCTACTAACCGTCCTATCAAGGCGGAAACAATGCCATTAGCGTCCACAACAACCCTGGTCCTATCTCAAGCCTATATATATATATATATATATATATATATATATATATATATATATATATATATATATATATATATATATATATATATATATATATATATATATATATATATATATATATATGTCGTACCTAGTAGCCAGAACGCACTTTTTGGCCTATTATTCAAGGCCCGATTTGCCTAATAAGCCAAGTTTTCCTGAATTAATACATTTTCTCTAATTTTTTTCTTATGAAATGATAAAGCTACCCATTTAATTATGTATGAGGTCAATTTTTTTTATTGGAGTTAAAATTACCGTAGATATACGACCGAAACTAACCAACCCTACCTAACCTAACCTAACCTATCTTTATAGGTTAGGTTAGGTTAGGTAGCCGAAAAAGTTAGGTTAGGTTAGGTTAGGTAGGTTAGGTAGTCGAAAAACAATTAATTCATGAAAACTTGGCTTATTAGGCAAATCGGGCCTTGCATAGTAGGCTGAGAAGTGCGTTCTGGCTACTAGGTACGACATATATATATATATATATATATATATATATATATATATATATATATATATATATATATATATATATATATATATATATATATATATATATATATATTTATATATTTATTTATGCCTGAATTCGTAGTTGCCTAACTCCCGGGCACCTGTTTACTACTAGGTGAACAGGTGCATTAGGTGAATGCCCAACCACTTCTGTCAATCCCGGTAATCAAACCTGGGATTGTGAGATGAGAAGGAAATTTCTCAATTACGAGAAAGGAGAAAGGTCTAAACCAATAGGATTGTATAACATTTGGAGTTGGGATATGAGGACAAGGAGCTGGGATATGAGGACAAGGAGCTGGGATATGAAGACCAGGAGCTGGGATATGAGGACCAGGAGCTGGGATATGAGGACCAGGAGCTGGGATATGAGGACAAGGAGCTGGGATATGAGGACAAGGAGCTGAGATATGAGGAGGAGGAGCTGGGATATGAGGACAAGGAGCTGGGATATGAGGACAAGGAGCTGAGATATGAGGACGAGGAGCTGGGATATGAGGACAAGGAGCTAGTATATGAGGACCATGAGCTGGGATATGAGGAAAAGGAGCTGGGATATGAGGACCAGGAGCTGGGATATGAGGAAAAGGAGCTGGGATATGAGAACAAGGAGCTGGAATATGAGGACCAAGAGCTGGGATATGAGGGCAAGGAGCTGGGATATGAGGACAATGATGGGATATGAGGACAAGGAGCTGGGATATGAGGACAAGGAGCTGGGATAATAGGACAAGGAGCTGGGATATGAGGACAAGGAGCTGGGATATGAGAACAAGGAGCTGGGATATGAGGACCAGGAGCTAGGATATGAGGACAAGGAACAGGCATATGAGGACCACGAGCTGGGATATGAGGACAAGGAACAGGCATATGAGGACCACGAGCTGGGATATGAGGACAAGGAGCTGGGATATGAGGACCAGGAGCTGGGATATGAGGACCAGGTGCTGGGATATGAGAACCAGGAGCTGGGATATGAGGACCAGGAGCTGGGATATGAGGACAAGGAACTGGAATATGAGGACAAAAAGCGAAAACATGAAGACGCACTGAAGGACTGTTTCCCAACCACTTCCACGCACTGGCAATCGAACTCGGACCCTGCAAGAATATAACCCGTCGCTGAACCAACCAGTCCAGATGGTTATCAAGTGTTGCGAGAGTAATTAGTGCAGAATGTCCCTGAGACTCAGTGAAGAGCAGGTTGGGTATTAATCATTTGTTTTCTCCAGGTCCGCAGCTTCTTAATTATCTTGATCAACCATCTTCCAGGTTCCAGGTCACAGGTTCGACCTTCCAGGCCTCAAGCCCCTTATCCCTGGTTCCATACCTCAAGCCCCTTATCCATGGTTCCTGGCCTCAAGCCCCTTATCCCTAGTTCCAGGCTATGCGTATCATTTGCGTATACACATTGCGGTAAATATTTACAGCCACGCAAGAATAAATATGTTGCGTAGTGACTTTATATTGACTATGCATTTTGCGAGAGTTCCAAAGCAGTATTAAAGAGTTTGACTACAAATTCTACAAATAGAGTTGACATAATCAGAAACAAAACAGCACAGAAAAAAATATGGATCCCATCAAAAATCCAGTAATGTGTCACAGGGAAGCGATAATGTAGAGGCTTCATCTGTGTCACAAAAGAGAGATGGTGTAGAGGCATCAAATGAACATATCTGGTTTGGAGAAAGTACAACACAGAGTGACAAAAATCATCCCAGAATTAAGTCGTCAATCATACGAGGACAGGCTGAGTACTAACAACACAACTGACTACAAATGACTGATGATCTCATGGAAACTTTTTAAAAATATTGGACAAATTGGAGGATATTAATCCAGACCGTTTCTTCAAAAGGTGAGATATAACAGGAACAAGCAACAACGGGTTCAAGCTCAACACACCACAATGTAGGACAGAAAACAGAAGACACTTTTTCACCCTTAGAACCTCCTACCCGCCGAAGCCGTAAATGCCTAGTCACTATTACAGTTCAAAATCCAGTTGACAAAAAATTATCAGGAAAAATGGGTGGAAACTTTGTGACAATCCGCCGGCGTCCTGTACCCGTCGAGGCCACTAGATAGATGGAGGCCCTCAGGTAAATTTCACAAACAAGAGATGCTAAGTGAGGGACTTCTCATACAAATGAGAAATCAAATTGTGCAACGTGGTACCTTATGCGAACGCATTGAAGATGGAGTCGTAGTTCGATTCCTGCCTTCAGTCTACCTACCAATATCCCACTAGGAGTCGGATATTGGTCCGGATTACATGTAACTCGAACCAATCTGTCTCATACACTGCTCAATTATTCGGCCTATAGATGAGAAATAACCTGTCTAAAGATTCATTTATCCGGCTCATAGAGGAGAAATAATAAAATTAATACACCATCCGGATTGCAGAACAGAAATAACTGTTATTAAAATTCATTTATCCGGCTCATAGAGGAGAAATAACTGTACCCCGAGGCCTGATCGAGGACCGGGCCGCGGGGACGCTAAGTCCCAGAATAATCTCAAGATAACCTCCTCTCAAGATAACCAAGATATCACTTGATGGACTCATATAGCAGAAACAACACGAGCCAACATCACAATGAATGCATCTTTTTTATTTTTCCAAACTACTAAATGAGGAAATAATATCCGTGCTGGTGACTGCTGGCGGCAAATTTTATTGTTTTAATTACTGTTAAAACCAAAATAAAACTTAAATATTAATATCCGTAATAATACGTTTATGAAATTTTGTTGTCAATTTTAAATTCATGAAATTTTGTTATTGTTGTATCCAATATATTTAATATATGTTTGGGTGATACGAGAAGACAATATACAAATGTATACTTGGAAGCCTAATATTTCTATCTATAAAATAGTATGTGTTTACAAATCCACAAGAGCCGTGACGGGGATTCGAACCTGCGTCCGAGAGCATCCCTGACGCTGCCTTAATCGACTGAGATGCTCTCGGACGCAGGTTCGAATCCTCGGCACGGCCCTTGTGGATTTGTTCATTTAATGCATCACGCTATTGTGATTTTTGTGTGTCTGTTTAAAGTCGGAGGCTAAACGCTTGAGGCAAGCCTCACCAAACTTTGCAGGATGACACATGGGAGGTATTGATTGTTATAGGCCTGTAGTTGTTGCGCCCAGTGCTACCATTTAAGAATTATCGGCATCTGTAACGACCCCCAGCGATGTTAATGAAATCTGATTTTCACGAAGTTTATTATTAGGGATTTGGTTCCGTAGAATTTTTAGTTTTTTTCAGTATTGCCTCGCAATACTAAATTTTCTTGAAGAGAGGGGATTATGACCCCTTGAATCCTCGTCACGGCCCTTGTGGATTTGTTCAAAGGGGGTTATATATGTATATATATAAATATTCTTCTGGGGTGTGGAGTTTTCAATTGCATATATGCTTGGGAGACCATTCAAGCTTGTTCGCATTATATATATATATATATATATATATATATATATATATATATATATATATATATATATATATGTCGTACCTAGTAGCCAGAACGCACTTCTCAGCCTACTATGCATGGCCCGATTTGCCTAATAAGCCAAGTTTTCATGAATTAATATATTTTCTCTAATTTTTTTCTTATGAAATGATAAAGCTACCCATTTCATTATGTATGTGGTTAATTTTTTTTTATTTGAGTTAAAATTAACGTAGATATAGGACCGAACCTAACCAACCCTACCTAACCTAACCTAACCTATCTTTATAAGTTAGGTTAGGTTAGGTAGCCGAAAAAGTTAGGTTAGGTTAGGTTAGGTAGTCGAAAAAACATTAATTCATGAAAACTTGGCTTATTAGGCAAATCGGGCCTTGCATAGTTGGCTGAGAAGTGCATTCTGGCTACTAGGTACGACATATATATATATATATATATATATATATATATATATATATATATATATATATATATATATATATATATATATATACTGTATATATAGTGTCAGACCGCGAAGGAAGAATTGAAACAGGAATTTCCTTAAGTACTTTCGTATTTAATAATACATCTTCAGAAGAGTGATCATCCATCTACTGTGTCTTTTTCTCTCTTTTCTTCCTTTATCTGTCTGTTTCTTTGTCACTCTGTCTTTGCCTGTCTTAGTCTCTGTCTATATGTCTGTCTCTCTCATAAAAAATGTAATTGTGTAATGTGTGGGTGGTTGCCAGTGAGAGGAGCTCAGTAGTGTGAAATACTAAACAATAGAGTAGTTACCCATTACTCTGGTAAATGCCTAGCTTGAGAAACCTTTGAAACGGTGAAAGAATCGTCTGGTTTATGTGAGTACGGGCAAATTATTGCTAGCAGGAAATTTCTGTTAATGTTCTCGAGATCAGTGAATAATAGTGCATATTCCTAGAAGAAAATGATTTGTGTTGAAAAGTTTGTTTGGGAGATATTTAGCTGTGTATTGTTACGAACATATTGAGAAAAACTCTATGGGCTCTGCATCCTCTGTTTCATCTCCGTGGAGTTCATAGGGTTACCATGGGAGTCGACCCTTCTTCAAAGATGTTAATGGGGCAGACCCCATTTAGCCTATGACAGTCCTCTAACGCGTACCCAATAGTTACCCTGCAAAGTTTAATGAGGCCAGCCCCTTCAACTTTTGACAAACAGGAAAATAATAAAATAATATAAATGTATTGGTGTATATTATACATCCACGAGATAATGTATGTGTGTTTGTTAAAGATTGGAGACCAGATGCCTTGGGCTAGTTTCACCCAACTTTCCAGGATGAATCATGGGGGTATGCGAGTCATGGTTGACCCTAATGCCATACTTTAAGAGACATTGACATGTTCAGTGACCCCCCTCATGATTTTCATGAATTCTGATATAAATCATGTTTTTTGTAGTTCTGATGCTTACTTCTGATGTATTCATTCTGGTTAGAGTATTAAATTTTCGAAGACAGTCTCCCACCTAGACCAGTGCCAGTTATCCACTTCGACCAGTGCCAGTCACCCACCTCGACCAGTGCCAGCCACCCACCTCGACCAGTGCCAGCCACCCACCTCGACCAGTGCCAGTCACCCACCTCGACCAGTGCCAACCACCCACCTCGACCAGTGCCAACCACCTACCTCGACCAGTGCCAACCACCCACCTCGACCAGTGCCAACCACCCACCTCGACCAGTGCCAACCACCCACCTCGACCAGTGCCAACCACCTACCTCGACCAGTGCCAACCACCCACCTCGACCAGTGCCAACCACCTACCTCGACCAGTGCCAACCACCCACCTCGACCAGTGCCAACCACCCACCTCGACCAGTGCCAACCACCCACCTTGACCAGTGCCAACCACCCACCTTGACCAGTGCCAACCACCTACCTCGACCAGTGCCAACCACCCACCTCGACCAGTGCCAACCACCCACCTCGACTAGTGCCAACCACCCACCTCGACCAGTGCCAACCACCTACCTCGACCAGTGCCAACCACCCACCTCGACCAGTGCCAACCACCCACCTTGACCAGTGCCAACCACCCACCTCGACCAGTGCCAACCACCTACCTCGACCAGTGCCAACCACCCACCTCGACCAGTGCCAACCACCCACCTCGACCAGTGCCTCTGGCACTCCAACAGGGGTCAACAGCCGCACTAAGCGACTCTTCACGTTATCAACAAGCTTTTCATCCACAGTTACAGTATCACAAACTTAACATAGGTGCTGGACTATTTTCTAGCCAGAACTTAAACAACCTACTAAGATAAATTGACTTTAAAAACGTTTATCATAAATGATGATATTGTTTCATTCGCGTCAAGCCGTGTCAATCAACCCTATAACAATATTCAATTGTCACATAATTCATTATAAATCTGCACTTATATAGTGTATAATATATATATATTATACGCAGTATATATCCTGGATACTGCACTCAAACGCGCGCGCGCGTGCACGCCAGGGATAAGCAACGGTCACAGTTAAGTCGAAGGAATGAAGGCGGGAGACGACGTCTGAGGTCCTCGCGCCACGACGGCTGACCGGATACTGAAGCCGGGGTCACGCGGCCTCCCTGTCAGCTGATGTTATGACGTCACATTTTGCGCTGATGGTGGAGGCGTGATGGGGTTGTGTATGGGGGGTTAATGGGGCTGTGTATGGGGGGTGTATGGTGCTGTGTATGGGAGTATGTGGGGGGAGGGCTGGTGCTGTGTATGGGAGTATGTGGGGGGGGGAGGGATGGTGCTGTGTATGGGAGTGACAAGAAGTGTCACCAGGATGAGGCTGTTTTCTGTCAAAACAATCTATTTTGTTCTCCTAATTCTATCCTGGTAAACATGTAGATATCAACTGTTAAAATATCTATCATCACGTTATCAAAGGTAATTCTAGAACTGTATTCTTTAAATGATTTAGGCTTTGTTGATAGTTTCTTACCCTCGATATCCGAATTCTCCAAATTCCCACAAATCTTATTTTCAGAACATAATTACAAGTAAAGTGATATCGAATTAAGAAGGTTGATATCCATAGTATGGCTGTGAAGCAAAGATTAATAGGTTTAGTTAGGTTAATCTAAAGATTAATAGGACAATTCAACCCATTTTCCTAAAATGATAGTACTTATAGCAACCTATTTGGGCTAAAGTACCAATATGTAGTGATGGACCGCCATTAAGCCACTTATTGTACTATTAATTTGATTCTGGAATCAATAGCTACCAATAGCTATACCTCAGACCACACTAACAATCAAACTGTGCCTCAGATAACTACCAAATTATTCTTCATCAAACACAAGTCGAGTAAATTTCAATAAATGAAACTGACGGTGAACTACATCCTAACAATCACTACTTAACCATCGCAAGGATTAAGAGACTACTAACAAGTGGTTAAGGAAATATTAAGTACAGAGCTGGGACCACAACTGTCAGATGGCAACCCGTTCTCGCAAATTCGTAAAGTCAATATTGACTTATTAACTACGTGCATAGGTGATATACTAAACATAATAGATATACCTTAAAAAGATTCATAGAAAACACCGACCTTACCTAACCTTGTTAGTATCTTAAGATAAGCATCTTATTGCTTCGTAATTACAATTATTACTTAACCTATACCTATTATAGGTTAGGTAATAATTGCAATTACGAAGCAATAAGATGCTTATCTTAAGATACTAACAAGGTTAGGTAAGGTCGGTGTTTTCTATGAATCTTTTTAAGGGTATCTATTATGTTAAGTATGTCACCTATGCACATATTTAATAAGTCAATATTGACTTATTAAATTTGCGAGAACGGGTTGATCTGGAGCTGTCAGATGAAGATTAGGCTGCTAGATTAGTTTGCTAGATTAGTTTGCTAGATTAAGCTGCTAGATTAGGCTGCTAGATTAGTTTGCTAGATTAAGCTGCTAGATTAGGCTGCTAGCTTAAGCTGCTAGATTAGGCTGCTAGATTAGTTTGCTAGATTAAGTTGCTAGATTAAGCTGCTAGATTAAGCTGCTAGATTAAGCAGCTAGATTAAGCTGCTAGATTAAGCAGCTAGATTAGGCTGCTACATTAAGCAGTTAGATTAAGCAGCTAGATTAGGCTGCTAGATTAAGCTACTAGATTAAGCAGCTAGATTAAGCAGCTAGATTAAGCTGCTAGATTAAGCAGCTAGATTAGGCTGCTACATTAAGCAGTTAGATTAAGCAGCTAGATTAGTCTGCTAGATTAAGCTACTAGATTAAGCAGCTAGATTAAGCAGCTAGATTAAGCTGCTAGATTAAGCAGCTAGATTAAGCTGCTAGATTAGGCTACCAGATCAGGCTGCAACAATATTTAGTATCAAATAAATAAACGATTCTTCGCGGCAGGGGGTCGTATTCCAGGGACCATAGGATTAAGAACTTGCCCGAAACGCTACGCGTACTAGTGGCTGTACAAGAATGTAACAACTCTTGTATATATATCTCAAAAAAAAAAATCAAGTAACCCAACTCACACCTATAGAACGAAAGTGACAACGTTTCGGTCTTTCCTAAACCCTTATCACGTCGTGACGCTTATCAAGATGATAAGGCTCCAAGACAGGGCCGAAACGTCGCCACCTTCATTCTCAGCATTAGTGTCAAGCTGTTCTTAAAACTGATGATTGGATTAGAACATATTAATAATGACTCATTAAAGATGAATAGGACGCTCTGACCAATGACGTTGATAATTAACACCATCATCAATACTCATTTATGTTGAAATGGTTTCATCGTAACTCTTCACATCTGAGGACAGCTTTTGCCTCATTTGACATGTAACATATTGTTGAATGTTTTATATTGACTGACTTCCGGTCCCCTGGGTTAAGATTCCCTGAACTCTGGAAATGTTTTATGCACATTGAAACATTCGGTGACATACTGGACCTGTACCCCAGATTCACGAAGCAGTTACGAACCTGTACATCTTTTCTCAATCTTTGGCGGCTTTGTTTACAATAATTAAACAGTTAATGAGCTCCGAAGCACTAGGAGGCTGTTTATAAGAATAACAATAGTTGATTGGGAAGTTTTCATGCTTGTAAACTGTTTCATAAATGTAACTAAAGGCGTCAAAGATTGAGGAAAGAGGTACACGTTCGTAAGTAGTTGCGTAACCGCTTCGTGAATCTGGCCCAGCCTACCCCCACCCCCTCCCCAGATTTACTATGTAACGCAAAAGTTATATGTGATATTATAACCTGAATTTATAAAAAAAAAGCTTTTTAATCACCTGTGGTTGAGTGCTCGAATCACTCACTATGTACTGTGGCTGCTCCCCTGCCTAGTAAATTTAGGAATGATGAATGTAATGGGATTGTAATTTTTAATTGTTAAAACACTTCAATCACATTTTGTGGTTGAGCACTCAATAACCCGCTTCAGTATATGTGAGAGAAACTCAAGCTTTGTCTAGGTAAGACAGACAAAATCGTATAGATGCTGATTGCATTGTATAAATCAATGATCAATATCAACAGCAGGAAATAAACAAATAGCCTAATATAAGTAAATTGATCAAATTGTAGCATTCTTTTTAAATAAAAGAATTTTATGTTAATCATAACACTGCAATAATTGTTTCCATGTTTTCTCCCTTAAATAACTCCCTACATTTGTGTATGTGGAAATCCATCTTCCTAAAATTAAAATCCTCGCAGTAACTATTTGGTCGAAAGCACCACCAGTATGTAGTGATGGACCACCAGAAAGTTACATTTTTTATTATTGATTTTCGACATATTTGAAACTTTTTTAACTGCATTATAAATATAGAACTTAACGTAACGTGCCCTATCAATCTTTAGTCTAATACACGCTATCTTTGGCTTAATATAGAACATATTTGACCCATAGTAAGCTTAGAAATTATTAAGCTTGATTTCTAGCTATATTTTTCCAGGTTTTTTAACATTAAATTTACAAAACGTAAAGTTTGTTGTGGTCCATAATGGATTATTGGTTCTTTCGACCAAATAGTTACTATAAGTACTATCGTTTTAGGAAAATGTGCTGTACTTGGCTTATATATGTGGATGCATATGGAGGCTTACATATGTATCCATGTGGATTCTTGTAGAAGCTTATATATGTATCCATATGAATTTTTTTTTGGGGGGAGAGGCTCATATTCCATGTAGCTTCTTGTGGAGCCTTTAATGTGTCTATGTGGATGCGGTATGAGTCTTGTATATGTATCCATATGTCCTCTCGGAGAGGCTTGTATAATTGTCCATGTGATTTCTTGAGGAGGCTTATGCATATCTCTATGTGGATTCTTGGGGATACTTATATGTGTCCACGTAGATTCAACGTGTAAAGAGATATCATTATTCTGTAAATGTTCTGTGTCGAACAGTATAGCGTTGACTATTGGGTCCCTCCACGCCTGCCCCAGCGTGTGGACACCGGAGAGGTAAAGACAGATTACTATTATGAATGTGGCCACACACACAACAGCACCATAATGCTAGTATGAAAGTTTAAGCTTCTGACTATAGGGATATGGCACTTGCGTCGACCAAGCATTGTGGTGAAACAAACAGTTTATTTTCGCACTTCAACGTAGTGATTGAAGGGCCTCTTTGTTTACCAAAATCAGATCCAATATGTGGATGGGTCATCACATGAGTATAACCTCGCTTTTGGCTAAGAGGAGTTAAAAAAGAATCACAGGCTTTCTTTGCGAGGCGCCAAACCAGAAAGTGGCGACACGTTTTAGGAATGTTTACCCTATAATTCGTAGGCAAAATGAACCCATTTTTTATGTTCCCTTTAATAAAGAAAGTGGTTTCATGGGATACTTAAAAATCAGGCTTCCTCACAAAACTTTATTTTTCGATTGCAAAACATAGTCCAAATCGTCAATTAACTCATATGGAGTAAAAGAGGCAGTGCTGTTGTAGAGACGAATGGCATCCATATGGAAGGGATGGAGTGGATTATATAAATAATATGAAAACTCCAGAATAATTCAGGCTCACCATAGCCCG